CTGTGTGCTCGATTTTATACACCTGTCAGCAATGGGTGTAGCTGAAATAGCCGAATCCACTAATTTGAAGGGGGGCCCACATATTTTTGTGTTTATATATAGTGTATTTGAGGTAGATGTGTACATGAAGGCAAGGGAAAGTGACTAGGCATTAGGATAGATATTATTATTATTATTATTATTATTAAGAGTAAAATAAAGGACAGAGTTGCAGCAGCATATGATGTGTGTGGGATTGTGTGTGTGTGTGCACGTTTGTGTTGTCGGTATGCGTGTGTGTTGTTTGTCTGTGTGTGAGTGAGTTTGTATATATAGCCTTGTGAGTGTGCATAGAGTCAGTGCAAGATAGGGTCAGTTCAGATAGTCCGTGTAACCATTAATTAAGTATTTAGAAATCTTATGGCTATTTATCAGTCTTATGGCTTGGGGTAGAAGCATTCTCGGAGCCTGTTGGACCATGTTAAGACCTTAGTGATGTGGACGCCAAGGAACTTGAAGCTCCCGACCCGCTCCACTACAGCCCTGTGGATGGGGGCATGCTCTCCCCTCTCTCCTGTAGTCCATGATCAGCTCCTTGGTCTTACTGACGTTGAGGGAGAGGTTGTTGTCATGGCACCACACTGCCAAGTCTCTGACCTCTTCCCTATAGGCGGTCTCATCTCCATCGGTGATCAGGCCTACCACCCTCATGACATCAGCAAACTTAAAGGAAAACTTCACACAAAAACTATCTTTTGGTATTTGTTTCATTAGTCCATTGTTGATATAGTCCCAAAATGTTTTGAATGTCATCAATCAAGTTTTCAAGATGTGTAACTTTCAAAATACAGAACTCTGGCCCATATGATGCATTTTGCATCATGATGCTGTGTTTTGCATACCTTCATACCGACCTTGTGCCATCCCGAACTCCACTGAACCGTTGTAATCAGGTTAGCATTGCTAACAAGTATATGTACAATCCCATATATGAATGTTAGCTAAATGCTAATGAGTCTTTGACAAACTATTTACAGGACAGACATCCCAGCTCATAAAGTTATAAAATATTTTTTTTAATGCTACTCGCAGTTTGCTGCACCCACAAAACCAATATTAGACATTAAGGCTCTTGATCCAGTAGGGGATTCTCTGCTGTTACCAAGAGAAGCTTAATTTTGCAAGAAGCTAACCACTTAGCTAGCTAGATAACTAGCTACTAAGTTAGCAAACCAAATGTACAACTGCAAAGCATTTAGCACATTTTACACAGTTAACTTAATAGTTATAAGCTATCTAGCTAGCAAACGTTTAAAAATAATAATAATAACAACAACAACAAAAAAAGTTTGGATTTCCATACTGTAACTAAATCACCTGGCGCATGCTGCACAACAGTGAGTGTGACTTACAAGGCTTCCGGTCTCTCGTCGTTGTGTGCTGGCAAACAAAACAACGTGACTGGGGACTACTGTTAAGCTTCATAATGAAAAATAATGTGACAGGTGAAATGAAGAATGCAATCTGCTTTGCAGAAGTTGGTATTTACTTAAAAAGTAGCTACAAATATTCACATTTATAAAAGAAACTTCAGAATATACAGTATACCTCCCAAGCCTACTTGAGGGGTTACCGTGTTGAGGGTCAGTGTGGCGGAGATATTGTTGCCTACCCTTTCATACAGAGCGACTTACAAATTGGTGCATTCACCAATTTACAATATTTTGTAAAAAAAAAATTCAAATGTTTTATTTGTAGTGTATATTTTTAATGTTCATTTGTTTTATATATATATATATATATATATATATATATATATATATATATATATATATATATATATATATATATATATATATATATATATATATAAATCTCGTTTTTTTGTGTGTTTAAATCGTAAAAATAAATTATTCTATTTTTTTTGTGGGGGGGGTAGAATGATTATTTTTATACTATCCCAGGTATTCCTTAAAGAGTTAGGGTTTCAAGTGTCTCCGGAAGGTGGTCAGTTACTCTGCTGTCCTGGCGTCGTGAGGGAGCTTGTTCCACCATTGGGGTGCCAGAGCAGCGAACAGTTTTGACTGGGCTGAGCGGGAACTGTGCTTCCGCAGAGGTAGGGGGACCAGCAGGCCAGAGGTGGAAGAACGCAATGCCCTCGTTTGGGTGTAGGGACTGATCAGAGCCTGAAGGTAAGGAGGTGCCGTTCCCCTCACAGCGCCGTAGGCAAGCACCATGGTCTTGTAGCAGATGCGAGCTTCAACTGGAAGCCAGTGGAGTGTGCGGAGGAGCGGGGTGACGTGAGAGTACATTCTGTCTAGATCCCTCTCATTATGTTTTTATACAGTGCATTACAGAAAGTGAGTAAATGTGTGTTTGAGTTTACAGGATAAATCCTGTTTAGTTCTCTCTGTCTCTGTTCCCTCCTTGGATCTTCCTCTCGTTCTTATCTTGTTGTCAGTTCTTTCCTTCCTGCCCTCCTACTCAAAGGCTCCATTCTCTTTCCTGTGGCGCCTTTGCCATAAACATCTCATAGACTGGGGTCATGTTGAGCTGAGAACACTGAACCACCACAAGCCAAGCCTAACTGGACTGTGAGCGATTTTTGTTGTTGTTGAAAATGTTGAAAAAGTCCTTTCAAGGATTACTCTGGGTAAGACCATGGTATTTCACCATTCAACATCCTGATGCTTGATTCTCCATATTAGGGTTACAAAATTCAGGTAATATTTCAAAAATGTTTTGCAACCCTACTCCAGATAGTGTGCTACAAATACGATACATTTGGCATAATGCTATTCTAGACTCTTATGCTACTTGACTGTAACTTAAGGTATGCAAAAGCGATCTTCATTATCTGTACCAATTGAGAATTAAGTTATTGTACCACCATTATACAGTGCATTCAGAAAGTATTCAGACACCTTCCCTTTTTTCCACATTTTGTTACGTTACATCCTTATTCTAAAATGATTTACATTTGTTTTTCCCTCATCAATCTACACACAATAACCCATAATGACAAATCGAAAACAGGTTTTTAGAAATTTTTGCTAATTCATAAAAAATAAAAAACAGATACCTTATGCAGCGACGCTCCCCATCCAACCTGACAGAGCTTGAGAGGATCTGCAGAGAAGAATGGGAGAAACTCCCCAAATACAGGTATGCCAAGCTTGTAGTGTCATACCCAAGACAACAAGATGGCTGTAATCACTGCCAAAGGTGCTTCAACAAAGTAATGAGTAAAGGGTCTGAATACTTACGTAACTGTGATATCAGTTTTGTATTTTGTATGAATTTGCAAAAAAATCTAAACCTGTTTTTGCTTTGTCATTATGGGGTATTGTATGTAGATTGATGAGGGGGAAAAATTATTTAATACATTTTAGAATAAGGCTGTAACGTAACAAAATGTGCAAAAATTCAAAGGGTCTGAATACTTTCCGAATGCACTGTATGTAGTGTTTTCTCAGTGAAAGCTGCCTTAGCTACTGACTTGCTAACTTTCCTTATAATGACGTGGATAGCGATTTTAATTTTACTGCTTGGCTCTTTTCATATACGGCTGATAGAAGGGTGGTAAAGATACTGGAGGGTTAATGCCCTCTCTTCCAGTCTCTCTCTGCTTTTCCTGTCTGAGTCCAGTCCAGTCCAACCCTAGTTAAGAGTCACCTCCATAAGCCTGTCCTCAATGCCCGCTTCGGTAGTCTCATACTAATGGCTACTCTTCTAGACCAAGCTCTTAGCCAAATCCTCTGTGATCTAACGAGTCACATTACTGATGTGTCATGCTTCTCTGGCTCTGCTGCCAGCTGAGACTGAGTTTCTGGGACTGTGTTCTAGCTGTGCTCTCGCTCGCGCTCTTCAGTTGTGTTGTGTCCGTCCAGTGACTGTGTTACTCTCAAACTGTAAATTCTAACTGTCATCTCGCTATCTCTTCTCACAGCTCGTTCCAGGCAGGTGATGGGGAAATTTGGCCATGTTTACAAGGAGCAGTATGCTGTGGCCCTCTTCAACAGTGTCCGCTTTGAGATTGAGGGGGGAGGAGGTCCCCAGTCACAGCTCCTGCACCGCAAGGCAAGAGGCCGGCCCGGGGACGACTGTCTGTCTATTGCACTTGTTCACCCCTCTGTTGCCGTTTTTGTGTCACCCCCCCCCCCCCCCCCAATTCTCCCTCTTCTCGCTCCATCTGTCTCTCTTCCTTTTATTCACTTCCTCTCTCTCTCACAGTATTCCCACACCGTCTGCAACTCTCTCCTTCTCATCCTCCTTCCCTCTTTATCCCCCCTTTGTATCTCTTTTCCTCACCATCCTCCTCGGAGTCTCCCTTAAGGTTTTATCTCTGAGTGCAAGGTCATGTGTGTGTTTACACTCCAACAGTCAAAAGCTATGGACACGGATAGGAAGCACCATACTGTAGCCATCTCCACTTCAGTACAGTTGAGTTCTGTGTTAGTCTCCACCATCCAGTCACCGGAGGGAAAGTGGAGCAGATTTCACACATGAACAAACCGTGATGGTGCTAAGAATGTTGTCTGTCTCCCTCGTCTATTCTCCTCACTACCCGAGTGATGCCCCGGGTAGTCACACACACCGAAACATACACACTTTTATTTACACACAAAAACTATTCCTGAATAACGCACAGGCACCACATTTTACAGAGCACTGCCAGTTAGCACCTTCCAAGCACACAAAACCTCTCTTCTTCTCCAGCTTCCCTCTCTCCCCCTCCTTCCTTCCTTCCTCAGCTGGGACTAAGCTGTTTGAGTTACAGTATTTGATCTACAACAGGAAATCTAAAAACAAAGTGGGTGGTGTGTGGTTGTGTAAACACTATACGACACTTGTGTGGTTGTGTAAACACTATACGACTCACTTTAGCCCTCCGGTATCAACCGCCTCCAGCGTGTAAAATGGAATTAGGCCTGACATTACTGTATGGAAGAGTCTCAAATGGCATCCCTATGCTTTTGACTATAGCCCTAGCGCTAACTGTGTCTGTTGTGTTGTGGTAGGACCCTCTAGAGGACCACTCTATCTTCTCTGGGAGTCTCTTCCAGTACTTGGAGGAGAACAAGAAATGGAGAAACCGCTTTGTCTTTGTGGCCGACACCTACAACATCAGCTTCCACGAGAACAAAGTGGTGAGGGTGGTCGGAAAGCTGAAACTATCTATTTTCTTGCTTGTTTTATGTTTAACTTCATAACCAGACAGATTTCAATGTCAGCCAGTCTGAATCATTTGGGTCACAACTTTAGCTGTGGGTTGATGGTTCTGAACGGCTTGTATGTTTTTTCACCCTCTCTCCTTGAAACTACCCCCTTCTCACTCTGTGCTCTCTGATAGGCTCACGAGAGGGGCTTGCACCCTAAAGGAACCATCAACTGTGCTGGATACAAAGCTCTGACCTCCATGGAGGAATACCTGGATCTGGTCAACACCAGCCTGCCAGGTGAGAGATATGATTTGGTAACACCAGTTGATTGTGTATAATAAAGGGCCGATCGTGAGAAACACTGTTGGATTGTGGTTGAACCAGCACTTCATCCAATGTGAGATCAAGTACTAAAGTCCGCAGTGGCTAGCTGGGCCGTATTCATTAGGGGCTCTATTCAATCTGTAAGCATTACAGATTGCGCAATAGAAATGGAAAGGTAATTTCCGATTGAGCCGCAAATGCAGTCACCGCTAATGCTGGAATATTACCTTTAAATTTCAATCACGCTGTAACTGAACTTCCGCAATAAGGGGTGAATAGAGCCCTAGGGCACACTGTAGCAAACGTTTAGCAATCAGTCCATTTTCTTCAGTTTGGTGACTAGGGAATATAACCCTGATGATGAGGCTATGGACACTATAAATGTGAATGTGTGTGTTTTCAGGTATAAAGGCTAAGGTGGGCAGCGGTCCATTTGTGAAGTGTGCCACCGAGTTCCCCCTGATCCTGTGGCACCCGTATGCCCGCCACCACTACTTCTGCGTGCTGACAGAGAAGGAGCAGAAGAAGTGGCACGCTGTGCTCCAGGACTGTGTCAGACACAGCAACGATGGTGAGGAGCTGTGTGAACACATGACACAGTTAACACATACACACACAGCCATTTGGTGTTTCTGGATGACAGAGGAGTGATTACCCATCGCAGGTAGGGAACAACATATAGACTCTCTCCCTCAGCTCCACCCTGGCCCATTATTGCTCTTCTGCCTCACTGCCATTGTTCACAACACAGACCAGGGTGTGTGAGTGTGTCACTGTGTGAGCATTTGCATACCATCTCAATGAGCTGGTCTATCAGTGAGAGTGAAACGTAGCCAGGCAGGAATGTGTTTTTTTTAAGTTATGATGTTGATCTGAAGCGGTGTTCCTCTTTACTCTGAGTCCTGGAGGGCATGTGAGTGGCAGGGTGTGGCCTAATTCTTTATTTTCTCAATTAAGTAAAAGTAAGTAAGCCTTGTCCAAGCCAGAACCATCCATAGGGCAGGAACCTATAATCTTTTTTTCTATAGCACGATGCATCTTTGATGTACAAGTAAACCAACCAGATAGGATGCTCCGTTAACCAATCAGTCATTTGATCTGTACTTGCACACACACCAGATTAATCCATCAATCAATCAAATGTATTTATGAAGCTCTTTTTACATCAGCATATGTCACAAAGTGCTATACAGAAACCCAGCCTAAAACCCCAAACAGCAAGCAATGCAGATGTAGAAGCACGGTGGCTAGGAAAAACTCCCTAGAAAGGCAGGAAGCTAGGAAGAAACCTAGAGAGGAACCAGGCTCTGAGGGGTGGCCAGTCCCCTTCTGGCTGTGCCTGGTGGAGATTATAACAGTACATGCCATTAAGGCCAGATTTTTCTCCAAGATGTTCAAACGTTCATAGATGACCAGCAGGGTCAAATAATAATCACAGTAGTTGTAGAGGTTGCAACAGGTCAGTACATCAGGAGTAAATGTCACTTTGTTTTTCATAGCCGGCCATTTAGAGGTTGAAATAGCAGGTGCGGTAGAGAGAGAGAGTTGAAAACAGCAGGTCTGTGACAAGGTAGTATGTCCGGTGAACAGGTCAGGGTTCCATAGCCGCAGGCAGAAGAGTTGAAACTGCAGCAGCAGCACGACCAGGTGGACTGGGGTCAGCAAGGAGTCATCAGCCTTGTGTGGTGAGTGCAGGGTGCTACACAGTACACATTGGTGTTGGATGAGGTGAAACTCCCCTCCCCACAATGACAGTAGTAAATGTGCAGTGTGTTTCTGTGTATTCCTATACCTCGCGCAGCATATAAAGAGACACTTATATTTGTTTAGTATTTAATTAAGATCCCCAATTACCTGCTGCAGGAAACAACACAACAAATGTAATACATAATATACATCACTACATAATACAAAACATAATACAATACAGAATATATACAAATTAGGGCTGTCAAACGATTAAAATAATTGCAATGAATCACATTAAATTCTGTAGTTGATCGTGATTAATCGCTCATTTTTTATTTGCTCAAATATGTTGATAAATAAAGATTTGTCCATTAATAAAAAATAAAAAAAGCTATGTATTGAGTTATAGGCATTAAGGGCCTGAAACACAAAAATATATTCTGTATAATAATGTTTTTAATGGCATATTCACCATAAACAAGTTAAGCAATACAAAAATCCTGTAACTTACTAATGCTCCCAGTGGGCCTACTCCCTCATACATTTTCTTGAAGTACACACACACACACACACACACTGTTAAAGCTTCAGCCATTCCACATGATTGTTCTACCAATTACTGATTGGAGGGTTGGCTATAAGAAACAACTGTCTCTATGGATACAAAGAGCATAAACCTGTCCAACAATGTCATGAATTCCACAGAACCTAAGCCTATGACTATACACTTCAGTCGTCTTCCTATTTCTTTTCACTGAGCCAGTTGCTAAGACAAAAAAGCCTGTTGACATTTTCAGATAATAAAGCTGCTCTCTTCTTCTGTACGATATGCCCAGAGAGTGAAAACAACCTCTCACAAGGTACTGATGTGGCAGGCGTTGCCAGGTACCTTTGTGCAATACAGGCCAGCCTGGTGTGTGCCCTTGCATGCTGTGACCACCACTGTAGTGGACAGTCCTACATGTTGATGCTGGGCTCTGCTTTGTAACGCTCCACACATTTCTCAATGGACTCCACCTCCTTCATCAGACACAGAAGAACTCAACAAGAAGCTTTCTTCTTTGGTGGCTCTGACTCTGTTGCTTTATCAGGTTTATCAGGTTGCTGTGCAGGCCTCTCTTCCTTCAGCAAGTTGCTGACCAAAGCCCACACCTCACCCCTCTCAGGTCTGGGAAGGCACGTCCTATCCTTAAACTTTGGGTCGAGTGCGATCTTCAGCCATGTGAGGTTGGTGTTTTCCTTGGGTTTCTCCAGGTCTGTTGTGAATGTCAGCTTGAATCTTACCACGTAGGCAGGTCATCATTGGAGCTTTCCATCACCCAAAGGAGACGGCACAATGCAGGCAACACTACTGAGCAAGTTCAGTCAAGTACCTGCAGTGGAAGGTCATTCAAAATCACTTCAGTCAATTATGAGAGACTTGTTATACACACACACACACTCTCTTACACACAAATTTACACACTCGCTCTCTCAAACACACAATTTACACACACTCTCTCTCTCTCTCTCTCACACACACACAATCGTATTATAACACTAATAGTGTGATAAAGAATTTTACCTGCAGGGCACCAGTAGTGCCTCCAGCTTCTGCAGTGTCTCCAGTTCAGCTGTGGTTGGCATGGTGATGTTTGTTTTCTGTTGGGCCAGAGCATCTCTGTGCTTGTTGGTTTCTGTGGACACTCTTTACCATTTCCAGAGTGGAAATCCATCTTGTTGCGACGTCTTGTGCGAGTGACTCCTTCTTTAGCAAATTTGCAACTTGCTGTGTTTAAATGCCCAACAATTTTTCAGCATTTGGCTGTTCTGTAGGGACACTGTGATTAACCTTTGGAGACTGTGCGCAGGGCAGGTGTTCAAAAGGCAGATGTCTCGCAGCTGTAATCATTTTCTGTTCACTGTCTGTGCAAAGTGTGGTAACTTTGTTTTCAATGTTCCACTGCTTTGCTACATCCATGAAATGCTCGGCGCACGTTTCAGCATAGTGCATCTCTTCTGTCTTCATTACGGCCCGAGCATGTGAATACAGTTTCCAGTTTTCATCAATATGGTGCGCATTAACCCCAGGGTAGTTGTGGTTACTCACCGAAGTCCAGTGGTCTCCCGTGAGAGCAACAGCCATTGCATGTTTCAATTCCTCTGCTTTCGTAGCCCTCTCGCTTTCATACAGCTTGTTTATTCTTGTAACGACGGTGGCTCTCGAGGGTAACTCCTACATTGAGTCGTTCGATGCAATCCGAATGATATCCCTCAAGCCTTTGTCGGTCACAGTGTGGACTGGCCTGCAAGCTGTAGCTATCCACTTAGCTATTGCTCGACTTGTCCATTGGCCTCCCGCGCGCACTCTTCTAGCTTATCCTGCCCAAGATGTCCTCCATTGCTACTAGTTACTTGTATTACTGGCATCAACAGTATGTTTAGCTTGTAAATGATGACGAAGACTCAATGTACTTCGGTGATGAACACATTCAGCCTTGCAGTAGATGCAAATTACTTTGTTTTATCCAGAGAACCATCTGGGAGGGATTTGAGATTGAATTTTCCATTTAAAAGCCCCTTACTAGCGTTCCCCATCATTCAGTCATACAAGTAGCTAGCCATTAAAGCGGTTGTCAAACTAGCACATTAGCTGCAGGGGCTTGAATTTGAACTATGGATGGTATAGGGGGTCAAACGAACAAAATGCGTTAACGGCGTCAAAAAAACATGTTAACTTTGACAGTCTGTGTCTCGTCACAATCCCCGTCCTGCCGTAAGGTGTTTTCTTGATCTGGTTTTATTGCTAGCTTGAGCTCCATGTAGTCATGGCTCTATGAGAGTTCCATGTAGTCATGCAACCAGAGTTCCATGTAGTCATGGCTCTATTTAATACTGTGTGTTTCCCAGCCTCTGTTCTGGACCTGGGGACTGTGAAGAGACCTCTGGTTGCATGTCTTGTGTGGTACTCATGAGTGTCCGAACTGTGTGCCAACTGCTTGAACAGACAGTTCGGTACCTTCAACACCTCGCACAAAGACCAATAGTGATGCTGGTAATCTCTCCTCAACTTTGAGCCAGGAGAGATTGACATGCATGTCATTGAGATTAGCGCTCCGTGTACATCTAAGTGCAGTACGTGCTGCTCTGTTCAGGATCAACTGCAATTTGCCTATGTCCTTTGCCGCACATGACCACACACCTGATAGTCCAGGTGCGACAAAACTAGGGCCAGTAGGACCTGTCTGGTTGATTGAGACGTCAAGAAAACAGAGCAGCGCCTTGTCATGGACATACGACCTCTTCCCATTTTAGCAACCATTGAGTATGTTTTGAACATGACAGCTTGCTATCTAGGGTTACACCCAGCAGTTTAGTCTCCTCAACTTGCTCAATCACCACATTATTCAATAATAGATCTAGATGAGGTTTAGGGTTGAGCAAGTGATTTGTCCCAAAAACTATGCTTTTAGTTTTTGAGATATTAAGCACCAGCCTATTGCTAGTTACTCATTCTAAAACCGACTGGAGCTCTGTCAGTTATTTATTTTACTTTCGTAGCAGTCGTGTATACTGTTGAGTCGTCAGCGTACATACATACATACATACACACACACACACACACACACACACACACACAGGCTTTATTAAAGGTCAGTGGAAGGTCATTAGGAAAAACTGAAAATAATAATGTCCCAAACAGGCTGCCCTGCGATACACCACACTCAACCGATTTTGCATTAGCGAGGCTTCCATTAAAGAAAACCGTCTGTGTTCTATTAGATAGGTAACTCTCAATCCATGATAAGGCAGAGGATGTAAATAGGTTATGATCAATGATATCAAAAGCTGTACTGAAGTCTTAACAAAACAGCTCCCACAATCCTCTTATTATCAATTTC